CGCCAACCTTAGGAAAAAAAAAAGTGTGGGCCCGGAGTTTGAGACTACAAAAAAAAACAATGGGACACTTACTGGGTAGCATATTGGAGCTTGAGAAGAGCTTGAGAATCGGGTTGGCGCGTTTTGGGGTTTACAGCTCAGGTCGGTTTTCTCATGCCTCCAAGGCCCTAAGGCCTAAACCCCAAAGTTCGTTTCAGGATCTGGGACCCTGAACCCTGAACCCTAAACCCTATACCCAATCTAGTGTTTCTTTTCGGGCTTGCAGCTGCTACGGAGGGCTTACGGCTTAAGTTCTTGTGGGAAAGATAGGCTTCGGGTTTGGTGCTTGTAGGGTTTAAGGATCGGAATCAAGGGCACATGCCCTTTATGCCCGGGATCGCTTAGCAAGATGCGAAGCTCCCAGTGACCAAGTTTAAGCTGCAGACCTCGACCCAACATCACCTGAAAAGAAAAGGACCAACCAATGAAGACCAACGAACAACAATTAACAGCAATAAAGACACCTTGAACAAAGTCGTAGACCAACCAACCGCTCAAAAACAAGTCATGCGAAACCCCTAAACAGAACCCCAAACCCCCACAACAGCCAGACCCGGAGTTCGAACTTTGGCCTTCAAGGGTTTCCTTTCATCCTTTATAGGTATAGGGTTTCGGGTTTAGGGTTTCGGGTTTAGGGTTCAGCGTTTAGGTACCCTGAACCACCATAACCTACACTTATGTAGGTTCTTATTATGAACCTTAATCTAAAATTTAGAGGGACCCTACCAAAAAGTAGGTTTCGGGGTAGTCTTATGCCAAAGTACATATGCTATAGGCTATAGGGGTACAGTACATGGACCCTTGGTGAATTATATTCCTGACATGTCGCAAGAGACACGAGTCTGTCAGCACACCTAGGGCAACCCAAAAAGCACATAAGCAAAAATTAGGATAGGGATATCCCATATAAGCCTCCTTATAATGAAGCCCAATAAGGTAGGGACATCCCTATAAAATGCTTATGCTTCTGTGCTTTTTGGGGTTCTTGAACCATCCCAACCCTCAACAGCGTCAATCCTCATGCCCTGAGTTCTGAATCCTATAAAGCGGCATTCTAAAGCCATATGGGCGGTTGTCAAAATTATGGTCCCTTTTTGGGTCCATAATATAATACGGCACCTTCTATTTAGGGTACCCCAAAAGGGACCCTAATTTTGACAACCACCCATATAAAATCTCACACCATGCGCTTATCGAAAACCTGACAAAGACCGTATGAAACCCGATAAGACCGCAACACGACGGTTATAAAATCCACGGAAACGACCCTGTTACAAAGCCTAGAAAACGAAACTGTCAACCCCGAACCCGACCCTAAACCCTAAACCATGAAAGCGCTAACCCCGCCTGAAGCGTGGTCTCGTTAGGCTCTGCGCGCAATGTTTTTTCGGGGGAGGGCTCCTGGTTGCTCTAATGCTCTAGGGCATTAAAGGTTTCTTGGGGTTCCCTTTAAAGGGATACCTTTACAAGGCGCAGGAGGGTGTAATTACAACCAGTGTATAGTTGTTTTTTTTATCACGTTTCAATAAAAGTTGTTCAAGTGCTCTGTATAAGGCTCAGGACGAGGAATCGGCCAGTTTGTTGTATACTACTGTCGAAAACTTTACCAACATTTCTCAACCCCTAAGAAACCCAAAGCCCTGCTGAAAGTTTGGGCATCTAGGCGTTGCGTCAGAGGTTTGGGGCTTTGGGGCTTTGGGTTTAAGGTTCAGGAATTGGGTTAGGACGTTACCTCATCCATGCGGCAATTTGGCTTTTGATATAAGTGCTTAGGCATCTGGGTGTGTGGCCTGTTTTAAGCTTTCGGGCTTGGGATTGAAGCTTGAACGCTCCAAGGAACTTAATACGAATGTCAAAGCGGAGCCTACGTATCACCAAGATGCTCCAACATGGGTCAGCACACCAGAAGTGGGATGATCTCATGTGTAAACCTGCTTCTGACAATAACCAGCTCCAAACCCAAAGACCCATCACATCCTAGACCCTCAACCCTAAACCCTAAACTCTGAACCCTAAACCCTCAACCCTAATTTAGGGCTGAGGGTCTAAATCGTCTCAATGAAGCTCGATAAAGCTCAAACTCTTTCAGGGTGAAACCCGCAGATCAGAAACCCCCTCGGACATGTCCCCCTCAATGAAGCTCGATAAGCCTCGAAATAGGGTTGGAGTTCAGGGTTTAGGGTTTAGGCGTTTAGGGTTTAGGGAGTTTAGGGTTTAGGGCTCTCGAAACACGTCCCTGGGATCCTTCAATTAAAGGGGGGAAACCCGCTGGGGCGGTTCCCTGACGTGGTTCCCTTGGAACCCTGTAACTAAAACCCTAAAAACCCTAAAAACCCTAAAATCCCTAAAACCCTAAAACCCTAAAATCCCTAAAACCTAAAAGCCCTAAACCCTGAACCCTGAGCCCCCAAACCACTGAACCCACAGTCCCTGCGTTCGGCTCCCGGCGTCCTTGAAGATCCTTAAAGACCAAAGACCCTTAAAAGTCGGGGCCCTGTACCCTTATACTATGAATCCCTATATGGTAGAAGAACCCTAAACCCTTTCAGGGTTCTTCTCGTCCTTGAAGATCTTTCCATTTCCGAAGACCCGCTCGTGGCTGATGTGCTTCTGGCTCATCTCGGCCTGTGTGCCTTGATTCAGATTGGAAGTTTGGGGCTTATGGGTTTTCGACGTTAGGGTTTTAGGGTTTAGGGTTTGTATAAGATTGAAAGTTTGAGGCTTATGGGTGTTCGACTCTAGGGTTTATATAACCCTAGGCTTCCAGGGACCTTATTATTGGGTCCTCAAGGGGCCTAGGCGTGGGGTTGCGGGCTTTCGAACATCTGCGAATGATGGTGTTACATCTTAGGGGCTGAGTACCCCAGCCCAAAAAAGGTTAACCTTTTAAATTATGGTAGGATTGTAAGAGCCCCAAAAGGTTAAAGGTTACCTACTCAGCCCCTACGACATTGATTGGCATGGAAAGGGCTCTTGGCAGCTGCACGATCTCACACTCCAAATTCAGGGGGAAAGGAACCTTGAGGACAAAAAGAGCCCTCAAAGGGCTTAAGGTTCATATACCATACAGGGATTCATAGTATCAGGGTATAGGCCCCCTACTTTTAAGGTTCTTTTCGTCCGTAAAGAAGTGGCTGCAGCAAAGAAGTTTCGGGGCGGTTTGAAGGTTAGGGCTTAGGGCGAGGGTTGCGGGTTCTGGGGTCTAGACTTAGTATCTAGGCCTGGGTCTTCTTCATGCTAGAGATTCGGGGGGCTTCGGCGCAACCCCAAACCCTAAACCCTAAACTTTGGAATAAACTCCACTCTTTAGCATGGCACGGCCCGACTCGGACGAAGATGCTCTGTGCGAAACCTTCTGAGCGGCTGGCAGGCTCCGACGGACAGCGCTTGCTCGAACAACTCGTCCAAGTCCTTCAGTTCTTCTAGTCGAGGCCTTCCTAGAGGCTCCACTTTTTGTGGCTTATATGGGAGTTTCCGAGAATAAGGGGTACCTCGTTTTGGGATCCTTCTATTAAGGATCCGACTATTTGGGGTAATATATTAAGGCACCCTATTTTCGGAAACCCCATATGGGTAGTTTTCTAAATCAGGGGCCTTTTTAGTTCCCCAATATAGTACAGCACCCTTATAAAAAGGACCCAAAGGGACCCTGCTTTAGAGAACTACCCATATCTAGGATTCGGTTTAGGGACTCCCCGAAGACGATAGGTTCAATGGTTCCCTGAGCGAACAGAACCGACCTGTTTGCAGGGGGTCAAAGTAATCAAATTTCTGAGAGCTCACTTGGAGGGTCGGGGGACTTAGCAACTAGTTGTTTCATGGACTTATAAGTATCAGAACCCCAAGTAGGATCCCTTTTCGGGTACTTACAACTCTACTTAATATCTGCTTACTAAATCCCCCGACCCTCCAAGCAAGAATATACTTAGGCATTAAAGGCTAGGGGAGGTAAAGTGTATCCAGGTTGCGCGTTTGGATGTGTATCGGTTTAGAGGCTTAGGCTAGGGCTTGGGGAACCTGAACGAGGGCGAGTTGTGTCGCGGTTATGCAGAACCTGTCGTGGTTATGGCCAGCCCTTGGCACAGAGCCCTGTCTTGCAATCCGAAAAATAATACCTAAGCGCAGCATATTCATCTCTCATGTTAGAGTTTAGGGCTTGGGGTTTTCGTGTGTTCCATTCATGTCTAGAAGGGCTCCATTTATGAGAAATGTCTCTCACCACTCCTTAGAGGTCCTAAGTACCTGTATAGTAGAATGTAGGAGTTTCATTGGGAATTACTGTCATGATCTGCGAAAGTATCCCCCATAACAGCACCTAGCTCCCTTTGGGGCTCCACTCCTCTCATCCGCTCTCTCAACCCTCTCCCAAAACCCTTGGCGGTCGAGGTCCTGGGGTTTTGGGAGGTTTTGGGCTTCGGGTGTAATTTTCACCTAAACCCTAAACCCTAGTTTAGGGTGTCAGCTTCAAAGAATGTGCACCACTTCTCGGTTTGACATGCAAACACCGATTCCCGAGACCTGCACCGCCTAGCTAGGGCTCCTTTTCGGGGAGCATCCGCACGATGTAGGGGCTATCTTACCCTAAACCCCCTGAAGCCCGAAACCCTAAACCCAACAAGCTAAACCCTCAACCGCCTTGAACTTAAACCCCATGGGGTTTGCCCCTGAGTGCTGAACTTCCTTGTTTAGGGAATTTCGACTGGCGGCTCAGCGCTAAGGGTATAGAATCTTAGGGTTGCATGGTCTAAGAGCTCACAGCGGAGTCTACGCCAAGTTCTACGATCTGCACCCTTTCCCGTGCAGAAATCGGGATTTCTTAACATCAAGGCTATCTTACTTCGGGGTCCCTTTAACAAGTACTTTCTGGGGTCTACATTCAACACTAAGGATCCCAAAGTTCTCCCGAACAGATACAAAAAATGGGAAACCCTACAGGGCGTTTTGATTACCGGAAGTTTCGAAAAAATACGGTTTGGGGTTTTGGGTTTGGGGCTTAGGGCAAAAAATACGATTTAGGGTTTTGGGTTTAGGGACTATGAACCTTAGGTATCAAAACAAGGCTACACCCTGGAAGCCCCAAGCCCCAAATCCCTACTTCCGGGCTCCCCACGCACGCCGTCCGAGATCGCGAGCCTGAGCAGAAGGGATTTTGTGGTTTCATGAGGTTTGGGGATTTAAGACTTTAGGCGTCTCAAGGTTTTAGGAATCTTGGGGTTTCAGTTAGGAGTCTTAGGGCTTTAGGAGTCTCAGGGTTTTAGGAGTCTCAGGGTTTTAGGAGTCTCAGGGTTTTAGGAGTCGTAGGGTTTAATTTAAGGAGTCTCAGGGTTTACGGAGTCTTAGGGTTTTAGGAGTCTCATGGTTTTAAGACTCTCAGGGTTTTAGGAGTCTTAGAGGGTTTAGGGTTCAGGGGTTTTAGGATTCTCAGAGTTTCGGGTTTTTGGGTTGCATAATTTGTGCATTGAATATTTCATGGGCGTTTTGATGAGAATGTCATCAAGGTTCTATAGAAGTGTTTGGTTAAAGCGGAGGTTTCACAGAACTTTCTTCTGGTCCGGGGTACCTTTGCGAACATTGGCAACTCAAAGAATCTAGCGAGAAACCAGTTTTCAGCGACGTGATATCTAGGCTCGAGCACCTATGAAGGCGCGGCGAAGTGCGAACTGCAGAACTCCGTGAACCAATGGCCGCTTGAACGTGCATTGCGTCTTTAATCCCTAAACGACCCTCCTACTTATTTGTAGGTTCTTACTATAAACCCTATTATCAAATTCATATGCACTCTACTAAAGAGGCAGGCTGTTGTAGTTTAATTTCAATTTAACTCATACTACCTCTAGAATCGAGGGCATGTTTGCTTCTGAAATTTGAAGCACCGCTTTGGCAAAGTGTTGGGGACTGTAGGGCTCAATACGACTGACTGGAAACATGCTCATATAGTGGCCTTACTAGTTTGAATAGGGTTTTGGGGCATATAATGCTATAACTGTAATAAGGAGCAACCAAACTAATAGAGGCAATTATGTACGCCCCTATATTAAGCGATCTGCTGTCCGTATTAACGTAACGTAGGGGCCTTAATAATTGGAACAAATTTGGGGTATATAATACTCTGACTATAATAAGGAACCCCCAAAATAGTAGTGGCAATTATTGAAACCCCCATATTATGGCAACTGACAATTTAATCTTCTTCGCAAGCGCCCACGCTGGTGACCTGTACAAACCGTCCGAAGCCCAAACTCAGTATGTGGGCCCTCACAAAAACCTTAGCAGTCCATAGACACATCGAAACGCCCAAACCCTAGACCGTCATAGCCTTAAATCCCTACAGACCACACAACCCAAACTCAAAGAATAACACCTTCACGATCCAAACCAGAAGCCCCGTGAGTCCCCCAACTCCCAATGCCGACAAAGCCATCCCCAAAACAGCACGTATATATCTTTACAACAACCTATAAGCCCAACAATGCCCAACAGAAACACATGCGGTGGTTTAGCTCTACGTCGTCCTCAACATACCACACCAGAAAGCCCAAAACCGTGAAACCCCAAACCCAAAGTGTATGTCTCACCACCTCGCCATGCTGTTCACTCATTCCGCGAAATGGCTGGCGAGCCAAACTCCAGCCTGGCACTCACCTGGCCAATCACATGCCTTCTTGCAGTAATTGGTTCTCAACTTCGTCAATCTGGACATATCTTAACATGTATTCATCTTCAGTTCGCAGCCAAGGCTGCAGCCAAGCGCCCCTCGCCAAAGGATTGCTTGACATTGTGCCAAGCACAGCCAGCGCTTGCAAGCCTTGGCTTCTCCACCATGCAGCCCAAACATCTGCAGACCCAGCTCAACTGCAGCCCAGCAGCTCCTGGGTACGCTCTGGAGCCAGACCTTCCACTTGCTCATCTGCCAGCAGCAGCATAGAAAGCCTCTAAGCTCGAGCCCCACACCCTAAACCCTAACCCCTATAGCACCCTCAACTCGAAACCCTTAAGAACCCCAAAACCCTAAACCGTAAAAGCGACCTAGAACCCAGAGAGCCCAATACCCCTCAATGAAGGAAAATACCTGGAATTATACTAGGTAGCCCCTTAGACTTTAAGGTGCAATTCCTTTATTAAGGGGTATATTGGGGCCTCTCTGGGAAGCCCAGCTCAACACCCAAAGTCAACCCTAAACCCCAAAACCCAAAACCCTAAACCCCTAAAACCTAAACCCTAAACCCTAAACCCCAAACCCTAAACCCTAAACCCTGAACCCCAAGACCCTAACCCTAAGTCTGAAGTGCTGACCGCCGGAGCCCCGGCTGCAATCGTCGATTGCTGGGCCGTGCAAAGCCTGGCCGCCCAGAGGGTCCTAAGTACCTAATGTAAAGGGTGTAGGGTTTAGGGGTTTAGGGGTTTCGGGGTTTCGGGGTTTCGGGGTTTAGGGGTTTAGGGTTTAGGGCTTAGGGGCCCAAGTCGTTACCTATATTTTTTTTGGAGGTTCCTCATTATTATTTATGTATAGTATATTATACCCCAAAACCCTATTCTAATTATTTAAGGCCCCTACATTACATACATAGCAGGAAGCAAGGTTTCTAATGTACAGGTACCTGCAGCAATTACTATTACTGTTCGGGTAAGTATTAAATAATTATTACCCATATCAATACTTCTCTATAAATTAGGGTCCCTTTTTAGGTCCCACAAATAGTGCTGCACACTGTAAAAAAGGACCCTAAAAGGGACCCTGCATCAGAGAACCCGTATAGGTACTTAGGACCACTTCGGGCCGGAGGTTTGGGGAATTCTTCTCTTCGGGCTTAGGAGTGGAGTTCAGTGCTTAGGGGCTTGTCTAGGGTTTAGGGTTCTTTATAGTTAACCCCAAAAGGTTGAAAACCAGATTAAGGACACATCGTGGTGGGATTCCCGATACAGTACTCCTTAGGATTGAGGCCTTTGGGTTTCGAACTTTTGGGCTTCTGCTATATGGTTCCCCTCAACCCTAAACCCAAAACGCAGGAAAGCGAACTATAGATCTTTCAGACTCCCCGAGCATGAAACATCTGCAATGCCATGTGGAACCGCTGAGTGAATCTATGTGCATCTGCTTAATGTAGGGGCCTTCATAATTAGAATAGGGCTTTGGGGGTTCCTTAACTATGGTATAATATACCCCCAAACCCTATTCTAGTTCTAAAGGCCCCTAGAATACTGGGAGAGCATACCTATGCCTATGCGGGCTTACGGTTTCCGGGATACGCAGGAGCGCCTGGACATGCCGGGACTCTCGTTTTGGGCATGCGAGGACTCTCTGTTTCACGCATGCCAAGGCTCTCTTTGCACTGACTGTTCTACATACCAGTTGCTATTTGCTCGCAAGGAGTTTTGGGGCCCTGCCAGGAGTTGTTCCTCCATGCATGCCAGGACTTTCTTTCCTATGCATGCCAGGACTCTCGTGACAGTGTTTCCCTGGGATTCGGCGTTCTCCCAAGCAGCTGGCTTCTTCGTTGCTGACCTGGCCTTGCCAGAACCAGAAAGAAAGCTAATCGGCATAAGCTTTGGCATGGTTTGCCAAAGCTCCAACTTTTCTTCGTAGCCGTGACCCATGTCTTCCGTCATGTGAGTGTTCTTCAGGTGCAGACGCAAAGCTAGGGCTTCGCTGCGCTCACCTCGTAGGAGCCTTTGGAATTGTTGTCTGCAGGCCCCGGCCATCTCATTGAGCAGCCACATTCATCACAAGACATGCTCAGACGGCATCATGAATAAGATTGCCAGCGACAGCCTGCCATGAAGGGCTGGTTCGATGCGCTGCAACACGCTGAGAGAAAGGCCATCCTGGCTTGTGGGTTTTCATAACAGATCTAAGTCCTAAACCGTACACCCTAAACTGTACAGTATTTAGGCATAGACTGTGGGGCTCTGATATCAGTCATTTAGGGTTTAGGGTTTAGGGCTTGAGCCCCTCTGCAACCCGTGCTGCCTTGTGAGGGCTTAGGGTTTAGGGTTTAACCGATTCAACAAATTCCACAGAGCCTTTCTTCACAGGCGAACCCTAAACCCAAAGCCAGCAGAACCTCTGGAAAGAGCTCCCGTAGGTCCTGCCAAGCAGCTTCCTACATCCCCAGCACTCATGACTTAAGGGTTTCAAGGTTTGGGGTCTAGGGTTTTTAGGGCCGAGAATTTATGAGGTTGGTAACCTTTCAAATCATGAGTACTAAACCCTGAACCCCTAACCCCAATATCAACCCCAAGCCACTTAACCTCAAAGCCCTCCACCGCTACATCCCCCTGTTTGGGGATTTAGGGCGGGGGGTCAAAATATGGGCCCCGCTAAGTGCCCGACATCATACAAACCAACTACCTTAACCTGTGCTAGAACACATTTTCCAGTAGGGTCGTATATGGGTCGAGCCCTAGTGACCCTAGTGCACACATAGCGGCCGTATTAGCCTCGGGTCGAATATGGTCTGCACCCTAAACCCCTAAAGCCTAACCTTTAGAAAGTACGGCACCCTCGTCAAATTCAGAAGGCTAAGGGGTCTTGAAGAATTTACAACATCTTTGTAAGGTCTCAAAGGTTTGTTGGGGGTTTTTGGGTGCAGGCTAGGGAGGGCTCTATAGGTCCTAAAATCTGTGGTCTAGAAAACATGTTTCTGACACGTTCTAAAACGATCTTGGTACGCTTTTCTTTGCAAAGTGTTTTGGAGGTTTTAAGGTGGTGCCGGACATAACGGTATCTTGTGTAGAACCCTGAAGCCCTATAAGCAGCACCTGAGTCTTAAATACCAATTAATGGCATGTCTCTGGGTGCCCACATAAAGCTATACTATTACTTAAGTTGCTGTAAAGATGCATGTATGCCAACATGAACCCTAAACCCTAAACCCCTTAAGCCCTAAACCCGAAATCCCTTAAACGCTAGCCTAAACCCCTTCAGCCCTAAAACCCATGAAAGTTTGCCAGCGCCGATGTATAACCCGGTAAAGCGGTTTCGGGTTTAGAGAGACTGCAGTACCAAAACCCAGTCTAATAATTCAGGCCCCATATTCTTGCAGAATTCAGGGGGTACTCACAGAGAGAGAGAGAGAGAGAGAGAGAGAGAGAGAGAGAAAGAGAGAGAGAGAGAGAGAGAGACCAATACCCCACTATTTAAGGAATAGGCCTTAAGTCATAATACGAGGCCCCTTACAAGTCAAGGTATGGTCCTCAATTAAAGGGTGGTGGGCTCTCTGGGTGCAAGACCCCCCCCCGACTGTAAGCTGGCCCTGAACAGCAAACTCCTCACCCCCCACACCCTTAACCCTAAAAACCCGAAACAAGAACAACTAAAAACCCTTAATTCCTCAACCCTAAACCCCACCTAAGCCTACGAGGGTACCCAATGTCCTGATCAAGCTCACCTGCAGCTGCTGGACCCTCGGCCTGGGCTTTGGTGACTAAACTCGCACGAAACGGTTCGGGGTTTGGGGTTTAGGGTGCGGTAACGTCATGGGTGCTCGCTGGTGTGTGCACGCCCAGGCCGCTCGCATCTGTGCGTAGCAGACAGCCCACCCCAAGACCAACCGGATTACAAGCATTTTAGGGTTTA